TTTGATAACAAAAAGAAATATTTCCAGTGTGTTTCTTTAGGAAATTATTTTTTATACAATTTTATTTACCGAAGTGTAATTAGTAATATGTAATACACTAGTATGGTATAATATTTATTTAAATATAATTAAAAAACACAAGAGAAAATATTTTTTGGAAACACACTGAAATATACAGCCATTAGCCCGGTAGTACTTGCGTTACATAATTAATTAAATTTGAATAAATCGCAAGTAATACCGACCCAGGTCTCACCACTAGGAGGTTGCTGTTTTCGGAGACCCACGGACTAAGACTCTACTTCTAACATTTATTTTTCTAAAAAATTCATTTTTCTCATTAATCATTTAGTAGAAAACAATTTTTTCAAAAAATGCAACGCGTAAAACGAGTCATACATTTTTTCTTTCAAATTATTATTCAAATTGAATGAAAAATAATGAACATCGTTTTAAATCGATCCTACCTACCCGATTTACAATCCTAAATTAACGCAAACATGCTAACATGCAAACGCTTTGACGTAGATTCGATTGAAATTTTAAATACAAAATGCAAGTTTTTTTTATTCAACAAATGCAAGAATGTAGACCGTTTTAATTTACATTAGACCGAAACTTATAATGTAACAACACGCAAATTGTTACAATAGGAACGCACACAATTTTATGTGCACTTACGTGTGTGCATTGAATATTATTTTAATAATAATAAGAATTCGTAATGAGATATCAAAAATAAACATCATATTATTGAATAGAAATAATTTAACAAATTCTTGTTGCATTACTCATCTTATTATCATACTTATCGATAACCGATTTTATTTTATCTTATCATCTAATATATAATTCTATCTACGACCAATCCTCTTCAGATGCTATTAACAATATTGCTATCTGTGAACAGAAACAATCTAAAAAAAAGATTTATAATTAAACAAGAATCGATGAAAACCAAAAGCCATCAGTGAAAATGTCTTGACAATAAATGCATAATTGATACACTAAATCAAATACCAAAAATTTGTTCACACTCACAACACATACATTCATACATTCATACATTTAGATAGAAAAACCAACACCACGACTACTACGAGAACACAAACTAGAAATAGTGGAATAGAATCTTGCCAATATCGATGAACCTAAAACAAAAATTAATTTTATATTATTACGTATAACTTATACGTAATTTTTATTAATTTATTTTTATATCCTAAATGATTGCATTACAAACCTTGGGATATTATTGCAGACATTGTTGTAAATATCCATTGATAAAATGGTATTTTGCGATATGAAATCTTACAACTTGAAAATACAATGCTTTCTATAACAAAAAACTAGATAAAAAGGGCATGTGTGGGAAAATGAAATTCGATGTATGATCCACGATCAAAACTTTTCAATTGGATTATTTAGTAAATAATGAAATTTAAAAAAAAAAAAAAAAAAACAATTTAAATGACCAAAAAGTGGACATTACAAAATACCGAATTCTCGATGCATTAGAAAATGTATTTTTTATATTTAAACACAAGTGAATATGAAAAAATGCATGTCTCCGATGCATGCTTTTTTCAATATACAAATATATGAATAGAAAAATGTTTCTATTTCATACAAAAATTATTAAACAATTAATACAATTACAAATACACATAGAAAATTATTCAAGACACATTATAAAAAACTTAATCAATTGTGAATATATCACAATATTTAAAAAATTAATTAACGTCGCGTTCAAAGGAAACAAAATGAAAAATATTGCACCTTGCGTCGTATTACAAAATGCATACGCAATTATGCATATCGCCATAACAATAACCATAACGAGATCAAATCTATGTTTGATCGATAGAGTACATAAATCTTTTATTTAATTAGATTTATATTAACGCGAAGTATGCAGTTACATCGAYGAGTGTCTGATGTACATATTACACCACTTAAATATATACAAGACACTTTTTTATTTTTAGTAAACAATAAAAAAACAAAAAATAGTAATGCAATTTCACAATTATCGAAGCACGTATTTTAAATAAATATGAATTTAACTGTATACAATGCAATATGGAATCATAAAGGAAGAACAAAAAATTGAAATTCAATATACAAAAATATTAATTGAACATTGAAACAATATTGATAATTAATTAATTGCTAATGCTTGCTTTAACAGATTCTATGCTAATCAAGTCTTATAGATTGTTARCCGGAATAATATGAGTAATTTTGATTATTAATTAGGAGGATGATTGACTCTAATTGGACTAATCAGATTAGTCCATATATTTAGAATAAAAAAAATATATAAAAAAATACG